CATCCAGTGGGGACATAATTACGGATTATAATGACTTATACTGTCTTTTTACGCACTGCGTTGCATCGCGCCGCGTAAACATAAAACCATGTCTGCATTTGTGATCGGAGAAATGACAAACAACAAGCCCTACTCTACACTGCCCAAAACTCACGTTTGAATCATCAGTGGCAAAACCTTTAAATGAAAACGAACTTACAGACTGAGAGTCAGAACAGCCGGCATTGTAGTCTACTCTAGTTGACTCTTAACTTTTATAAAGTATCTCTTTGGATTTGAGACTTTAGTCTTTGCAACTTTACAGATCTTCTTTATGCACCAAGAACTTGTAACACTCCAAAGAGAAACGAAAAATTGAAATCGCATCATATGACCCCTTTAACAGTTTATAGTTGTAGTTGTTGTATTTATCAACCTTGGTGTGAAAACGTCATAATTAAGTTCCATATGTTGACATTATATAGCAATTGCTAACACAAAATTATAAGGAACAACACTTTCAAAGCATCTGTTAATCTTGGTTAATGCTAATTTCTACATATAAATTTTTAACATGTAAAGACGTAAAAACCGTTAACGTAAAAAAAAAAAAAATTACAAAGAACAGGAGTGAATATATACATATAATATATATATATATATATATATTATTGTTAATTATTCATACCTGTGAATTACCTTGAGTAGTTGTGTATTTAGTCTTAATCATGAAAATGTTGACTTATGAATTGTGTACCACATATCACACTATTCCTAATGCAAAAAAAGAAAGACATTTTTTTTTATTTTTTTTTCATTTAGTTGTCAGTTAGGCCTGTTAGCTTAGCATAAAGCTAACAAGTTACATGCTACGGAATCACTGAACACTTTTAATTCAGCTCTTGCTCACCTCAAGTTGTTGAACTCTCTCTCCGTCTCTCATGTTTCTTTATTAATATTCATTTTCGGAAGTTTATTCATGTTAAGCACACTTTATGTTTATTGCTGATGCAATGAAGCATAATCTTTTGAGAAAACAGCACTGATTTCCCATATGAATTAATAAAAAGCAGTGAACCATAAGCCCATTGTGCCCTAGCTAGACGGTCAGAAAAGAAACCCTCATCTGTGAAGTCTAAATAAAATCCTTCAGCTATGTGGCTGACTGAAGGTAAATGTTGCTCTGTTTGTCAGTGCACATGTTATCAGCATGTTACCATGCTACGCAAAGAATCAGAAATTTCTCAGGTTATCTGCAACTTTTTTTGTCATAAATATGACATAGAAAAAGTACTAAAGTGCACAAAATGCATAGTTTCATGTGTGAGGCAGCTTTATTTCCCAATGTCCTTTCACTGAACCTTTCATAAGTTGCTATGTTAACAACAGCTAGCTTGTACAACAGGGAGCTGTTTCCAGTTTTAAATATGACGGTATCCACCCCCATACAGAGGTAAAAATATACATCGAATGCTACACCATGGCTATTATGAATGACCCTCAGAGGACTCAGCAGATGCTAACCATGAAAATAATACCTTTCTGTGGAAAAAGCCATGTTCAATAGCTGACAATGGTATTGTGTACTTCAGTATGCTTAGGAGCATACTTAGATTTTCGTTGACGCATTATGCATTTTTATATATTTATATATAAGCATACTGAAGTACACTTAACCATTGCTTTATATAATATTTAAATTCAATAATTGTTATTCATTAGCGCATATATATATATATATATATATATATATACACACACATACAGTATATATATAACATGTATGTGTGTGTGTGTGTTTGTTTGTGCGTGTTTTGTTTTTTGCAAATATAATTTATTCTGAAGCAATATTCTCATCAGTTTTCTATCAGCTGTGGAATATAAATCAGCATGTTTTTTATATTTTATCAAAGGGATTTTTTTACCTTTATAGAGGACATTTTATATATATATATATATATATATATATATATATATATATATATATATATATATATATATATATATATATTATGAAATGTAGTATGTCAACCAAGATCTTTCAATATTAACAATAATTATATAATTAGATTAAATATTTAAACATGATTAATGTTTAGTATTTTTTAGTCATAAAATTTAAATAATTAAGTAAACAAGTAAAATATACATAATATGCAAAATATAAATAAGAAAAAGTAAAAATGTAAATGCAATAATTATGTATTAAATATATTCATAATAACATATGTATATATGATGTATTATGTATGATTCAAATATTATATCAATATTTATTAATATCAATGATTTTTTTCATTACAAAAATAAATTATACTAAAAACTCTATTAAAATAAAAAAATAAAAACAATATCACTATAGTATACGGTCTCAAAATAATACCACCCTACCTTTTGGCACTTTATTAATTTGTGATTGTTTAGAAATTGGTTCCACATTATACTGATAATAGTCTCATATTCTGTGCTTACTGAAAAAGTGAAGAGTTATTGTACAACGCATACGTTGTCAGGAAATTATTGCAATATAAAAGACTAAACTTACCAATCGAATCCTTTCGTGATCTATTTTCTTTCATGAGAAATGTGCTGTGAGCACCAAATGCAATGGTATGATGAATCATAGTTTATTTAGTTCAGTGTAGCCAAGCACAGTCAAAGCGCGCTGTGATGTATAGTAGTGAAATGATGAAATGCAGGTGTTGAGAATGAGAGTAGTGAATCATCTGTCTCTTATCAACGAGCAAGTGATTAAGTTAGTGAGTGGATTGAAGACATGTTTCTGTCTGTCTCTCTCTCTCTCTCTCTCTCTCTTTCTCTCAGGTTCTGTTCCAAATGGCACACTTCATGTGGACTTGAGGTCTAGCGGAGATTTATGAAATCCACAAGACAGTGGAGTGAGTGTCCAAATTGTCATTTTAGACTCAAAACTGTGCACCCAAGCGCCTCCTGTGGACTTCATGGGCTTGAGTGAGCAAAGGCCAGTACGTTTCCATGCTTGGGAATTCTAAGTATAGACTTTTATAGAATGCACTGTTAAAAGTGTGCACTATAATTGTGTCCACTTCTGAGTGTATACTTTTGTTCTTGTGCACTTTTTTTGGTTTTCAATTGTAAGCATTTGAGACAAACCTATATTACGTCCCCATAGTGTGCACTTCTACGTGTGTGCTTCTGTAGTATTTGAATTTTGAGTGTATACTTCCAAAGTGTACACATCTTGTAGCCTTTAATAGAGTGCAGTTCTGATGTGTTTCATTAGTATACAATTCTGAGTGGAGAGTTTTGTAGAATTCCCTTCTGTATGTACTTCCATAGCGTGTGCGTCACCATAGGTGTTTAGCCTTCACATCAACTAATGTATACTTCTGTAGTATGCACTTCTGAGTGTACCCTTCAGTGCTCTTTCACAGCCAGGCAGCTTTGGTGGGCACCCTCATTATTCTCCATTGAGACATGTAGACGCTCAATTAGCAGAAGCCATAGAGAGTTGTTCAAAAGCACGACTTAACAAGGTACTTAACTGCATTAAGCACTGTGCTGCTCTGATAAACTGTTTTACTCTCAATCTATAGTGGTGAATAATGGGAAATTGTCTATTTAATGAGTCTTATGGGTTGTTAACTATCACATCCAATGCTCATCAAAAGACGTGATCATGAATGTGTGTGAATATTAACCTAGTGCCGAGCTGCAATGATTAGAAATCTTTGCCTGAATGTAAGACAAGACATGAATGGTCTTGAAGATGCTTTATTACAGTTGATGTCTGTTGTGAAATAACTTCAAAGACCTGCCTGAAAAAATGAATCCAACTGTTTATTCATGGTAGGTCGGACGGAACAGTATGATGGTATATCCCACGTGACAGTATGACAGTGTATCAATGTGCCGGTTGAAATTTGGTCTAGTCTCTGATCTGTCAAATATATAATGACATATTGTGACACTTTTTGACTCTAGGTTCACATACAAAAGAGTAACGTTACTGTGTTTTTAGTACATACAGTGGGTACGGAAAGTATTCAGACCCCCTTCAATTTTTCACTCTTTGTTATATTGCAGCCATTTGCTAAAATCATTTAAGTTAATTTTTCCTCATTAATGTACACACAGGACCCCATATTCACAGAAAAACACAGAATTGTTGACATTTTTGGAGATTTATTAAAAAAGAAAAACTGAAATATTATACCTCAACTATGAGAGACAAAATGAGAAAAGAAAATCCAGAATTGCAGTGTATCAGTCATATACATCATCAGATCAGTTTTTTAGAGGTGCAGAACGCCACACAGCAACTTTTCGGCATTGCACAAAGCAAAAATCAATCGAAATCATCACAAAAAGTAATGATTAAGCGCCTAACAAGGTCTCCGTGCATTAATTCGAATGGTTTGTTTTCCCCCTCGGCATAAACGGTTATGACGTTTTTGTGGGCGTTCCCAGCAATGCCGAACAAGTCTATGTGCTTTCCATTCTTAATAAAAAGTAATCTTGTGGGAAAAACATGGAAATATTTTTTTCTTGTTGCTTACTATATTTATTTGCTTGGACAGTGTCATTGTGGGTTTTGGTTCTTTTGCTGTTGTAAGCTGTAAAGACCTTTGAAATAACGGAAATCGTTTGGCGAAGTGATCTGGGCATGTAATGCGGTCAAGACCTGCCTGGAACTACTTTTGCTGTGCGTTTCCCTGAAAATAATTGCACACCTTAGAACATTCATCAGCCACTCAGACTCAAGCATTCAACAGCCCCGTAGTATAAGATATAGTTTAACGAATAGGGTAAAAACTATTTTATTGAATAGTCCAAAGGCGTGGTCACAATTTTGCCGACAAAAAAGGTTCATTGTCAACCTAGTGTAGTGATACACAGAGCATCCATCATGTTTTAAAAACAAACAAGCAGAGGTTCATATCATATATTTTATTCACGACTTTTATTAATGAAACCATACTGTTTATGTCTTTGTGTTTTTAGTTAGTGAGGGTAAGTCCCAGAAGATGGCTGAACCTGCAAGAGTACCAGAGCAAGAAGCTGATGCAGGACAGTGGCGTGACTGTACAGCACTTCTTTGTGGCTGACACTGCCTCTGAAGCCCTGGAGGCTGCCAAGAGACTCAGTAAGTGTCCTTCTCATTCTAAACTGCTCGCTATTAAGTGTCTAAACATAGTGCAGCTTTTTTGAGGTCTCTAATAGCTTTCAGTCAACAATGTGATTACATGAATAACACTTCGTTGATAACATGCTAATGTGGTGATGTTTATTTGTTAACTCGATTGGTGCTTGTTTGCCGAGATCTGGCCTCCCACACATTGAGCTGGGGTATGTGGGATTAGCCAATGAGAACGAAGAACACAAATTGCATTGATGTTTTTGCTTTTATTCTGGTGGACATGCCTTCAAGGGTCATCAGTTCTGAAGATCTTCTCTTATTTCTTCTGCTTTTCTTCTGTTTACGTGGTTTGTTGCTCACTCACTGTTTTATCCATGCATGCTTATTCTTGTTTTCTTTCATGCCTTTTTATTTATTTCTAAGCATGTGAGCTTCTGTTTCTGAGACGAGCACTTTTTATATGTGGCATTTCTGGTGATGGCTGTGATGTACTGGTGCAGTCCGGGCTAAATCCAAGAGGTGGACTAATGTCTGTTGGTGCCAGTTTTCTAAACCTCATATGATTTAATGTATGAGAGACTATGGAGGCTTTCCAGAGGCTCACAGCTGTAATCTTCTTCTTATCTCACTATACACAACAGGCTTTAGCATTTCATTTCGAGCATTCCCTTTTCCATTTTCTTCAGCATTCCATTTTCTTCAGCCCTTACCATGTATGACTAAATATTTTCTTTCAAATGGGGTTTGTTGTTCATAGGAGTTAGATTTTTACAGCCCAGGTGCTGTTTCAGGTCAAATGTTGAGGGTGAGGCAATGACATATTTTTTTCTGACTCAATTTGGAACATATTTCGAGATGGCATTTCCAGTCCAGCACATTGAGTGTTTCAGTCTGGTTCCTGTGGGATAGGGCAGGGCCCGGGCGCAGGTGACATGTACGAGGCGACCAAGCGAGACGTGAAGGATTTCTGTGACTGCGATATTGCAGTGAGCTGTTCTCCCCAGTGGAGAGATGCCACCCCACAGTTGGGCCCACTTACCCATGCGGCAATACAGCTGACAGCTCAATTCGAGCTCTGCAGTTTAGTGCTCCTCAACTACAGCAAACAATACTTTTGTATAAAAAGCATTCCTTTTTTGTTTTTTGATTTTCTTGCAATACGACAGAGTGTTGAAAATATACAGCTGCACTAGGCATGTGACTGTATCAAATATTCATGATGCGATTAATTGCTAATGCTTTTATCACGGTATACGGTATTATCACGATATTGAAATTTAGTTGCAAAAAAAGTGTTGTCATAATAAAGTATAACAGGTTTAATAACTTTTTTCTTATAACATAAAATAAACTGAACATTTAAATACAATAAAGCAATACACAAAAAATTTATAAAGTAAATCATTTCACACAGATTAAAGTACAAAAGAATTATGAAGACCAACAATTAACACCTTACAATAAGATCTCAGTAGTTAACCTTAGTTAATGCACTAACATGAACAACGAGCAATAGCTACATTTGCTACAGAAGTTATTAATCTTTGTTAAAAAAATACAACTGTTCATGTTAGCACGAGTTCATTAAATAACACAGTAGCAACTTTTGATTTCAACAACGTGTTATTAAATATTGAAATCAACTAAGATTAATGAATGTTTAGAAGAATTTTCCATTGGCAGTTTATGTTAAAGGGGTCATATGATGTTGCTAAAAAAGCAAGGTGTGCTCTGATTGGCCAGCTATACTCAATTTGGAACATATTTCGAGATGGCATTTCCAGTCCAGCACATTGAGTGTTTCAGTCTGGTTCCTGTGGGATAGGGCAGGGCCCGGGCGCAGGTGACATGTACGAGGCGACCAAGCGAGACGTGAAGGATTTCTGTGACTGCGATATTGCAGTGAGCTGTTCTCCCCAGTGGAGAGATGCCACCCCACAGTTGGGCCCACTTACCCATGCGGCAATACAGCTGACAGCTCAATTCGAGCTCTGCAGTTTAGTGCTCCTCAACTACAGCAAACAATACTTTTGTATAAAAAGCATTCCTTTTTTGTTTTTTGATTTTCTTGCAATACGACAGAGTGTTGAAAATATACAGCTGCACTAGGCATGTGACTGTATCAAATATTCATGATGCGATTAATTGCTAATGCTTTTATCACGGTATACGGTATTATCACGATATTGAAATTTAGTTGCAAAAAAAGTGTTGTCATAATAAAGTATAACAGGTTTAATAACTTTTTTCTTATAACATAAAATAAACTGAACATTTAAATACAATAAAGCAATACACAAAAAATGTGTAAAGTAAATCATTTCACACAGATTAAAGTACAAAAGAATTATGAAGACCAATAGGTAACACCTTACAATAAGATCTCAGTAGTTAACCTTAGTTAATGCACTAACATGAACAACGAGCAATAGCTACATTTGCTACAGAAGTTATTAATCTTTGTTAAAAAAATACAACTGTTCATGTTAGCACGAGTTCATTAAATAACACAGTAGCAACTTTTGATTTCAACAACGTGTTATTAAATATTGAAATCAACTAAGATTAATGAATGTTTAGAAGAATTTTCCATTGGCAGTTTATGTTAAAGGGGTCATATGATGTTGCTAAAAAAGCAAGGTGTGCTCTGATTGGCCAGCTATCCAGTGCATTGTGATTGGACGAATATCTCAAGCGTGTGACGGAAATGTTACACCCCATACCATACTGTGATGTAGGGCTGTGCGATTAATGGAAATCAAATTGAAATCGCGATTTGAGACGTTGCGATTTCCTAATCGCAAAGCCTGCGATATGGACGCGATATTACCAGCCTTGAGCTGCAGTCTTACTAACCAATAGAATGAGCGCACCTCTGTTCTCCCCAATCAGCACTGCTCTAGCCAACTGCATAAACACCCACCATTAAAAAAAAGAAAACCCGGAAAGACAGAGTGGGATTATGGCGTCTACTGGGTCAGATCGATAGTTAGGCAAATTAAAACTAAAGAAAACCGTATGCAACTTAAGCTTCGAAATGACAGACAATGAACAAAAAAGGTAATTTCCAAGAGCTGCGTCACAGCACATATCAAAAGCTCTCTTCTAGGTTCTGTTTTCAGTACTGGAGAATAAAAGATACATTCTTAGATGTTTTTGTTAGTACGTTTACGTTATTTTACGCATTTTATCTCCCCAACAGATTAATTTGAAATAAATTTATAATGCATGTTGGCTATTCCCAATTCAGAAGTGCGCACACACAGCCTGTGTCTGTGAATGCTTCTCATTCTCGCTCCTCTCTGCCCCACGCTGCTCGAATCCCGCATCACGGACGAGCCGTTCATGCTTGCCGCACTCACGCAGCCTGTCTCGTAATGCTCGTTTATACTCGCACCCGGCTCCGCACCGCAAGTCTCCAAGAGCGCATCTGTCAGTATGGATGAGGCTTGACGCACACGCGCAACCTGTGCCGACTCACGCCTGGCTCCGCGTTTAAAACGAATGTAAATTCAGTCTAACTGCTTGCTAATTTCACTTGGATGAAATGAAACGTTCAGCACATTTTCCACTTGTTCTTAAAATCCCAAATACTTAAAATGAATAAATCAGCCTATGTAACATATGTAATACTTTAATAATTGACTTCTTTATTTATAAAAAAATAAACATTTTCTGTGAAATTCAGTAATTAAGTTAATTCTGTAAA